ATATTATCTTTGTAAGCTCCATAAAATTACCTTGGTTACCAATATTTGACCAGCTCTCACGATGTCCTCGAAATGCTACACAGTTTTGTGCTAAAAATAGTGAGACATCAATTAAAGCTTTAACAATCTCACGATTGTACATTTTATTCTGCAGTTCATTTTCTCTCATTAATGGAATTATTGGAAGAGCAGTTTGTCTCAATTTAATTTCAATGCTGCACTCACATGAGCTTCTGAAATTTCGTGAAGGGTCATACATTCTATGGCTTTATGCCAAGCAGAAAACCCATCTTTAACCCACGCTTTTTTGACATTTCTTCCAAAAATGATACATGAATGACAGTATATTTTGTCATTAACAATGGAATAGCTTAACCAGTCTCTTCGGACATGTATATTCACAGGCATTATTTTCCAATACCAATTGGTTTGAAAACTACGATTTTGTTTATTAGGAGGAAATTTACTTTGGGGAAAATCTTCTCTTGAAGGTTGCATTGGGCCCTTTTGTATTAAAAACTCTATCATATCGTGAGGAATATTGGTCAGCATACAAAATGTACTGGGATCATTAGAAAGTGTTAATTGATCTGCAACATTTATATTATATTCCTTGTTAATTTTTTTACTAGTATAATTATTTTTAGAATGTAAAACTAACTAACTCCAAATATGGATAGAGTTTGTAAGGTAAATACTGAACACATTGAAAAAACATTAGAATAATATATTATATAAATTAAATACCTGGATGTGAACTATATGTAGAGGAACAAGTTGCTACATTTTCAATATCCTCGTTAAATGAAACACCTCTAGTAACAGTATATTTTTCTTTTTTATTATCAACTACAAGATCAAATTAACACTTCTAATTAAACACTTAAAGTATATAAAATTAACTATTCTATTTTAAATTAAATATTAATACCTGGATGAGAACTGGGTGTAGAGGAACAAGATGCTACATTATTGTCACAATATACTACATTTTCAATATCATCGTTAAATGAAACATCCCTTGTAACTCTATCTTTTTCTTTTTTACTATCAACAGTATCAACTACAAGAACAAATTAATACTTAAAATTAAACACCTAAAGTACTTTAAATAAACTTTTATATTTTAAATTAAATATTATTACCTGGATGAGAACTAGGTGTAGAGGAACAAGATGTTACATTATTGTCACAATGTACTACATTTTCAATACCATCGTTAAATGAAACATCCCTTGTATCGCTATCTTTTCCTTTTTTACTATCAACAGTATCAACTACAAGAACAAATTAATACTTAAAATTAAACACCTAAAGTACTTTAAATAAATTTTTATATTTTAAATTAAATATTATTACCTGGATGAGAACTAGGTGTAGAGGAACAAGATGTTACATTATTGTCACAATATACTACATTTTCAATACCATCGTTAAATGAAACATCCCTTGTATCGCTATCTTTTTCTTTTTTACTATCAACAGTATCAACTACAAGAACAAATTAATACTTAAAATTAAACACCTAAAGTACTTTAAATAAACTTTTATATTTTAAATTAAATATTATTACCTGGATGAGAACTAGGTGAGAGGAACAAGATGTTAGATTATTGTCACAATATACTACATTTTCAATACCATCGTTAAATGAAACATCCCTTGTATCGCTATCTTTTTCTTTTTTACTATCAACAGTATCAACTACAAGAACAAATTAATACTTAAAATTAAACACCTAAAGTACTTTAAATAAACTATTCTATTAAATATTAATACCTGGATGTGAGCTGGGTGTTGAAGAACAAGCATTATTTGTCTTGAAATATTTGTTAATTTTTAAATTTGTGCTCGACAATTTTCTTTTTTTACAAGTATTTATATGCAATTGTTTGTTGTGCTTATTTAAATTTGTTATGTTTTTTCCACAAGCACAAGTTTCCTTATCCATTATATCTATTAACTATTGTCACTAATACAACGAATACACTTATACAGTGTAATATAATAAATTGTGTTAAATAAAAAACTGTAATCAACTATCAACTATCAACAACTAACAATTAGTTACAAGTTACAACATAGTTTTGGCATTCAGTTTCTATTTATAGTTTTGAAATACCATTATCACAATATTATTATACTTTAATCATTTATAATGACTGTTATCATGGACATTTTGGTTTCCACCATGAACATTAGAGGAAGGACGCCGAACACAGCAGAACGAAGCGTAAAAACATGGTCCGGAATTATCGCATTCCGCCAGAATGCGCGTCGGACCGTAATGATGTCGTTTTTACATATTGTATAGCACAGGACATTTAATGGTTTTTTATTATTATAATCTAAATGGTGAAATTTATGAATAATTACTATAGAACATTTTTTTAAAACCAAATTGCCCTCGATCGAATATAAGTGTTTCCAATAATATACGACTTTTATAAAAAGAGATAACAACTATATCTTTTTTTATAAAAGTCGTATATTATTGGAAACACATATATTCGATCGAGGGCAATTTGGTTTTAAAAAAATGTTCTATAGTAATTATTCATAAGTTAACCATTTAGAATATAATATTAAAAAACCAATAAATTCCCTATGCTGTACATGTAAAAACGACATCATTACGGTCCGACGCGCATTCTGGCGGAATGCGATAATTCCGGACCACTTTTATATACACAGTTCGGCGTCCTTCCTCTAATGTTCATGGTTTCCACCACGGATATAGATAATAGATAAGATATCATAGATAATAGATTAGATATCATAGATAATATTCTATTAATCACGATTATGAAGAACTTTATAATCGTGCTATTTATTAATCAATTATTAATCTATATTTCCATCGACAGTCCATCATTTTATTAAACAATCAAGTGTCTTGTAATTTTATACCTGGGTCTGGATGTAGGTACCCAATAAATACCACCCACCCACTACAATTATGAAAGGGGTGATTGAGCACCTTTCAGATACATGATAGCCGCCACTGTACTAAGGAGAATATCCCATGGGTTTTCTTCTCTCGATCGACTTTTTACACGATATTTAAATTGTAAGCGAGTTATTGACAGTTAATGTCAATATAAGACAATGATGCACAGATAATAGCTAATAGGTCAATTCACTCGATCACAACAAACGCACACCTATTTAAAGTGGTAAAATAAAAGTGTATTAAAAGGTAGTTTGAACATAAATCATATTTCACCCGCAGAAATAAAACATAATATAATAAAATATATACACAGGGTACCTAATTATAAAAAGTTAGTAATTCCTCTGAGATGAACCTCAAAAAAGGTAGTGAATTTAACAAAAACACACAATTATACACAAATTAGTCATGTGCCAAAAACAAAATCAGAACACATGACGTACAGTAAACATAGAATAAGTTAGGTAAGTTTAATTGAACAAAAACTTGAGTTTTCAAACACATAATATTCTACAGACGTGCTACGTGGTCCAGTTATAAGAGCATATCCGCATCATATTATGTTACCTCCATCATACACAAGTACGACATAGTTAATTTTCGTTCGACAGTTTCAATAGTGTGCTGTATATTAGTTTTACGGTGAACTCGACTATTATTAATTATTAATTAAGCTTATAAGAAGATAATCTGTGTCCTCTCGATAGATTTTTTACGACATTTTAATTTTTAAACGAACTATGTGTATGTGTACAATAATATAAAATAATAATGCACAGATAATTTTCTAAACTATATAATAAAAACCAATGCACTTATAAGACGGAGACAACTTATGCGGGTGTAACGTTCTATTAAATGTTATCTTACTGTATTTAACTAACTAGGTGTGATTGGGGCCATTGATGGCTGCCACATTAATGTCAAAGCACCAATAAAGCAAGCAGACAGCTACACTAAACGAAGCTAGGAAAGGGCATCATTTTACTAGCATTGTACAGAAGGAAAACTGTTCACCAATATCTCAACTTATGCGGGTGTAACGTTCTATTAAATGTTATCTTACTGTATTTAACTAACTAGGTGTGATTGGGGCCATTGATGGCTGCCACATTAATGTCAAAGCACCAATAAAGCAGAGACAGCTACACTACACGTACGCTAGGAAAGGGCATCATTTTACTAGCCTTGTACAGAAGGAAACACTTGGATTCCCATGTCGTGTTCACGATGCACGAGTATTGGTGAATTCTGAACTATACAAAGGATTAGTAATGAAGGACCGCATTCACTTTTTTTATAATAAGTATCATTTATTATGGAATACAGCGTATCCTAATCGTAACCGGTTGATAACAACATATAAAGATTATAGAAATTTAACTTAGCGTAAAAAAAAATTTATTACTTTCACTCGAAAACAAGAGTATCTATTGAATGTGCGTTTGGTTTGTTGAAAGGGCGCTGGAGAAGGCTTTCTTATTTAATAAAACGAATATTGAAAATGCTTCCAATGTCATACTAACTTGCTGCTTTTTACACAATTTCTGTTTAATAAATACCCTAAATGAATTCATCAGCGATTATCATAAATTTGACACATATCAAGCAGTAAACAGGGAAAACCTTACTGAAAGGCAGCAAGGGAATTCTAAAAAAGATGAGTTATTTGATATATAGCACCTCAAATATAACATTTTTAAGGAGTACTGTTTAATATTATACTTTTAAATTTTTATATAATTTATAATTTTTTTCACCACATTACTAACATTTACATTTTTTTAATTTATAAGATAAAATAAATATAACAATTTAATAATTTTTATTTAATTTTTATTTATATTTTAATTAACCAGAGTCTGAGCTGTCTCGCTATATTTCTTTTTTTTTCCTTTGCACAGACTTTTAGTGATAGTCTCAAACAAAACCAAGCATTGAGAACGTAGTTTTAGTTTGCTCGTCTAAAATTTTAATAAATTCTACAAGTTGTTCTTTTTGTAATTTCATCGATCTCTATGTTTGTTTATTTACAGTAATCCAGAAATTATTGAAGTTTTGTTTGCAGGCTTAAGGGGTTTTTGGGGTGATGCAGAATGGAAGGTGGCGATATTTTTGATGTTGATGGCATAGTCATGCAAGCTGGTTCCTCGTCATCAGATAAATCTGAAAATAATGCTGTAGCTGAGGCTGTAGGTAATCTTGAAGTATTGAGAGATTCTGAAGTATTGATAGGTGAAAGTGATGCGACTGTGGAGATGGACCTAGAAGTATTTATTGCTTTTTTATTGATGGACAATGTATCAATAATTGATGGAGGATTTATTTTATGTTTACTCTCCATAAAACAGTGCAAGATGTCATAATGTGCTGGGGCCTTCATGAATCCATTTCCTGTCTTAAAATATAGTTGCTTATGATTTTGATATGATTTCTCCAAATTTCTCAGTTTTGGAAACATTTTTCCCCACATTTTTATCTCATTTATACAATATAACCATTTTCCCTCATTTTCTGATACACCATTTGCCACACTTTAATTTTGGGCGTCTTCTTGTCAATCAATTTATTTTGTACATCCTCGCGAATATAATAAATAAGGATTGGGGTACTGGGTACCTAACTTGCATTGATAGTAAAATATAATTTTAATTTGTAATTTTATAAAATACCTACTCAAGTTTTGTTATTTGATAAGAATGATGACAAAAAAAAGGCTTTAACTAAGTATAATTTGTAAAAATAATGTACTGTGACACCTTGTGTCAATTTTTTTTTAATTTTATGAAGATTTCAAACAAAGAAAAATAATGATTAAAATGGAACCAATTTAAATAGGAATGTTTCAAACTCATAATATGAAGTACTTGAAAATGTACAAAAAATATGTTATTTCCTAAATGCTATAGATGTTTAATGTCCTAAAAAAGTCTCAAAAAATGCAAAAATGACCTTAAAAAATGATACTACGGTAGTGTATTTTTTTCGCTTTTTATGTATGTATGATGTAATATAATAATTAAAACATAATAGGTATATAATGGTAATAATTTGAGCAGAAAGGCCTTCAATAAAATTGTTATCGACGATAACTTGTTGTGCTGTATAATTTACAATCCTTACCATCAGGAGTTTGTCGAAAGTCTGTTGTTAATCTCACATTTACATTGATTTTAAGAAAGAAACTGTGAAAAATGCTCTAAAAACTAAGGGAATGCACTAAAATTGTCAAAAAATGCAAAAAAAAAAATCAGTATCACCAAAAACACATTTTATATTTACGGACCAGCGTTTAAAACACCAAGAAAAAAGATACCTTTGCATAAAAATCCCAGCCCTAATAATAATCAATATTTATATAATGGTTTTAAACCCTGTTTTAAATTTCAAGTTCCTCTTGATTTTGGTGTAGCTATAAATACTACACTATTAAAATTGGGGGCGCACACAACACGGGAAATTATCGCTGAGGAACAACAATCTCTAGAAAAATATTTACTAGGAATATTTTTATCATAGGAAAGTATTGTTGGGGAAAATATTAAACAGGAATAGCGTAGTCAGGAAAGTATATCATAGGAAAAAAAAAATTAGGAATATATTACATAGACATATAGTCACATGTTATCGGGAAAGTTTAACACATTTAAAATAAAATTAGGAAAATATTATACAGGAAAGTTATGTAATAGGAAAATAATTGTAACTCAGTTTTGAATAAGAAAAAATACAAAGTAGGTAGGAAGGATATGCAGTGTAAAGAGGAAAACAAAATAATATTAGTATGTTGCCAATATTTATATATTGTTTAATGTATTGTCCTAACTTACCTTCAGTTAGCACACATTACTTGTGGTATGCAGTTGGGCTCATCATTAAAATGGCCTGCTTTTATTTAAAATAAATCTAATAAACTGCAAAGCCATGTTTACTTATGTACAATATATTATAATTTGTGGACGCAGTAAAGGGGACGCCGGAAGGGTCAAGGGCATCGTCGAGGAAAAATAAGAGTTAAGTTTATAATGTTAAATAAAGAGTAGATAAATTTTTAAACTTTTAAAGTGGTCCGTCAACCGTCATTCGTGTAAAACGGGGCTTAATCAAAGTAATAAGATAAGACGTGTAATCGCATCATAGTAAACTATGTTACCGAGTCTCAATTGACGGTTAGTAAAATCATTAAACTTGTTTAGAAAATCAATAACCGTGTTACAGAAACCGTACTCGCGAAAACGATATCAGTTAACAGTTTACTGATGGTTACTCCGCCAAAACCATGAACTAAGATAATATGGATTGGTAACGGTTGGGCTGGAGGATGGTAGCGGTGCGGTCAAGTTTTAATACGTGGTTTTCTAAGAGGGGGAATTTATCGGATTGGGGCGATCCTTGTGTTGTTTTTTGTAACTATCGTAGTATCGTAGGTATATCGTGGACCGTTGTTTTACAAAATATTTTTAAAATTTAAAGTAATTATACTTTATAGTAAATATATATTTCATATTCTTTATATTATGTTTCTCGTTTCTTATACCTACTGGGCACTGCCTACTACAGTACTACCTAATAATTTTTATATATTAATTTTTTACTTGTTGTCTGTTGATAGTGTAGTGTGTATTTTTTTAAACTTTCATCTATTCTATGATATAAATGTACCTACTAATATAGTATGTATATTACAGAGTCAGAGTGTATTAAATACCTATTCAATTTTTACAACTGTGCAACTAATTCAATTCAGTTTTACCTACCAAATATTGAACATGAATATTTAATATATTGATTACAAAATAGTATTTAACTTTTATTTTTAATCCAAAATATATCCAAAATGTAAGTTTGGTGGATAGGTGTATTATAAAATTAATGTTTAACTAATTTTGGTTTTTTTTTTAAGCTCTCTGTTTTGGAGTGCTGTGTGTTGTCTCATCCTCATCGTAATGTAATAACTTATAATATAAGTCATGATTTCACTTTTGTGTTCAGAACATGGGAATTCACAAAATTAACTTGTGAAATTAAATTCACTTTAAATGTCCACTTCCTACTAAAACATCATCAATACAATTTTCGAATACATCTTCATTGTTACAATGTTTTTCAAAAGAATCTTCAATCGCTAAAATCAGGTTGTAAAAGCCTTGGTTGGGATGTATAAACCGCCTTTAGATTTCATATTGGTTAAAGTTGCCTGAGGAATTGTTGAAGAGTTTCCTGCTACATATGTAAATATAATGTAAGTTTATTTATAGGTTAAGTAGGTTTTTGTACCTAGTTACTATTTTAAATTTAAATTAACATTATATCTAACCTTTAAGAATTGCCATTTTACAATTATTACATTTTGTATGATTTGACAATTTCCGACTAACATATCCACATATGTAATAAGTTATACACTCTTTTACTGATGATTTGCAGTAATCATGGTCAAAAATGTCATCAGCTTCCCACATACCAGTATTTACTATTTCATCAAGTCTAGAAGTCAAGTTCTCAATGATTCATTTGCATTAAAAACTTCTTTGATGTCATTCAAAGAAATTTTGGGGGTTGCAGTTTCCAATATTGTACAGTTTCCAGATTTTGGAGATTTTAAAATGGAGTAAGCTGATAATATTTTATAAACCTGTAAAAATGTTGAGGTTGAAGGATGGTAATTAGGACCCGTAGCTTGTCGAACAGAACCAAAAAATATCTATCAAAACAGAATAATATTTTTTTTTTTTAATTATTGCTTAACATCTTACCATTGCAAATAGCTCAATACTTCTAATTTATCCTGATTCATTTTATTGGTCAAGACATAATGGAATCCTATATCTAACAAATATGTTGATAAATCTATAGTTGATTGAATCGTAACTCGAAGTCCTTCAGCAGTTTGTTTAGTTAAGAAATCTGATTCATTTATTTTATTATTTAACATATTAGATTCCCATTGATCAATGAAGATCATAGCTTCTTCTAAAACCTGAGTTAATTGTATAAAGTTATTATAAATATTTATTTTTTGTTTTTTTACTATTATTATTATTTTTATATGAGTATTATTACTTTAAAATCAGCAGAATTTCTCCTAATACCCTCCGCGGGAAATCATCTATTTAATGAATCAAAAATATCATTAAATAACTGAAAACTTTTCGGTTTCTTGACTAAATTTTAATTTGTGTACATTTTCATGGTCCCTGTTATATTTCAAGCCAACTGATACAGAGTTACTAAAATCTGAAATATTGGATAATTATCAAAAATGTGAAAGTGAAGCTTGACGGACTAATGATGTTAGCATTAATATAATAAGTAATAACAAGACAATATAATTATGTATAAGTATAATATATAATAACGTACAACTGGACAATTAAACTGTGACTATACACACACACCGCGTACACTCTGTATGACAGCGTCTGTGCAAGTGAATATTACATACATCAAAGGACCTATATATATGCACGACCGAGGTCATGTTACATCCGTAAAGAGAGTGAGTCTTATGCTCGTACATAACTAGTTACTATATTGTACACACGTGTCAAGGCTGACTACATATACTACATATTAATTGTATATTCCAACACCCTCCCTCAATTAATAATCTCTTTAATTCAGGGATTGTAACCTTTAAGTTTTTTTCGGTTTCGGTTTCGTTTCGGTTTTTCAAAAAAATATTTTTAAGGTTTCGGTTTTAATTATAAATTTCAAAAATATGAAATTGAGGTTGCGGTTACGGTTGTGGTTTATACCGGTTTTAACCTGTTACAAAAAAAAATAAAATATTTTAAAATTTTAAGCGATTATAGAACCGTACTAATACAACCAAAAAATATGTATAGGTACCTACAGATAAACCTGGTAGTTTTCAACCAAGTCTAGGGATAGACAGCTCTTTTAACAATCAAAAACCGTATGATAACATATATTCCAACTTAAAATTACAACTAACAAACTTATGCTTTAGTATTTACATTTTAACTTAATTAACAATTATTGTTGTAAACTTCATTAATGTGTTGACTATTGACGACAGAGACGATTAAAATATCACCACAACTCAATACAAAAACTTTCAGATGATTGATGTTGATTGTTGAGGGTAAAGATTCTAAATTGGAAGGTAGGCGTAGCACTCATTTTGGTTTAATATTAATACTTATTAGTATTATAATTCTCAAATAACAGTGCCGAGGAATAAGAGTCTATTATGATTTAGGTTGAGACTTAAAAATTAATAAAATATAATACATATTTTATAAACTTTCTTTTACAAGATTTTATATTTTAACAATATAATAATAATTTTTATATTCATAAAATACATATTATTATAATGTAACAATACTATATTTTTTTTTTGCGTTTTGAAGATGGGTTAGTAGTTCCAGATGTTTCAGTATGACTTCCTTCCCCTTGACTCATAGTGACCTAACCGAAAAAAACCTTTAAAAACCGAAAAAATTG